CAAGCAGAAAGATTCCACAGAAAAACAAGTCAGCAAAGTTGCAAGCAGGAAAAATAATCTCAGAATTTTCCACTGCAAGAAAACTGAAAAACAACTTTTAGCTTAAACTGTAATGTACTGACTTTTAGTGATTGGAGAGCAGTAACATGAATATGGGAATTTTGATTATTATATATTATAGTATACCACTCACTATAAAATGGTAATTATAGGAGTTATGATAGGCTATAGGTAAAAAATAAGGTATAGATTGGTTCTGCTGTATTAAAATGCTCAGCAAAGAAAAGCTTATAATGTATTTGTAAGGAAAAGAAAAGTTTATAATGTAATGTAATCAAAAGAAAAGTATATAAAGCAGTGTAATCAAAAATATATAATGCAGTGTAACCAAAAGAAAAGTTTGTAATGCATTGTAACAAAAAGAAAAGTTTATAATGCATTGTAAGCAAAGTATATAATGCATTGCAACCAAAAGAAAAGTATATAATGCATTGCAACCAAAAGGAAAGTTTGTAATGCATTGTAAGCAAAGTAAATAATGAAGTGTAACCAAAAGGAAAGTTTGTAAGGCATTGTAACCAAAAGAAAAGTATATAATGCAGTGTAACCAAAAGGAAAGTATGTAATGCGCTGTAACAAAAAGAAAAGTACATAATGCAGTGTAACAAAAAAAAAGTATTCAATGCATTGTAAGCAAAGGGAAAGTTTGTAATGCATTGCAACCAAAATAAAAGTTTATAAATTATTATAATATTATAAATTATTATAAATTTTATAATTTTATATTATAAATTATATATCATTATTATTTATATATTATTATATATTAAATTATTATCTATAATATTATATATTATGAATTATAAATTTTATAATATTATAAATTTATATATATATTATAATATTATAAATTATTAAAATATAAATTATAAAAAATGCATTGTAAGCAAAGTAAATAATGCAGTGTAACCAAAAGGAAAGTTTGTAAGGCATTGCAACCAAGAGAAAAGTTTATTATGCAGTATAACCAAAAGGAAAGTTTCTAATGCAATGTAACCAAAAGAAAAGTATCTAATGCAGTGTAACCAAAAGAAAAGTATATAATGCATTGTAACAAAAAGAAAAGTACATAATGCAATGTAAAAAAAAAAAAGTATTCAATGCATTGTAAGCAAAAGGAAAGTTTGTAATGCATTGCAACCAAAAGAAAAGTTTGCAATGCAGTGTAACCAAAAGTTTATAATGCATTGCATCCAAAAGAAAAGTTTCTAATGCAATGTGACCAAAATTAAAGGTTGGATTGGTTACATCCAGGCCTGCCTGCAGCTGGAGCTGAAGCTGTGGGCTCAGCTCTGCCTCCCACCACATGCTGCATGTTATAAACTGCATTTTGAAGAGCTGCCTGTGCTCCTGCACCCCTCCCTGAAGCTGTTGGTTTTGCAGGGATGCTGAGGAAGCTGCAGATCCAGCAGGAGGAGGACCTGCAGTGCGTGGTGGAGGTGGCAGCCCAGATGTTCAGCGACGGCGTCACCAACTGGGGCCGGGTGGTGACCCTCATCGCCTTCGGGGCCTTCGTGGCCAAGCACCTCAAGAGCATCCAGCAGGAGCAGAGCGTCAGCAGCCTGGCTGGGATCATCACCGACGCCCTGGTGAACTCCAAGAGGGAGTGGCTGGAGAGCCAGGGGGGCTGGGTGAGTCACCATTCCTGGGATTCCGGAGCTTTCCCCGACATTCCGGCCTTCTCCTGCTCCCGGGGTGGGGGGCAGTGCTGGCTCGCTGTCGCCAGGGGGGTTTGTGGGCTGGCTGAGGTGGTTTGAGGTGAAAAGCAGCTTTTGGAGTGTTCCTGCCTCCAGCTTGGAGGCAGCATTGCCAAAATCAGGGCAGCAGCCCTGGGAGGGCTGGGGTGGCTGGAATGGGGCTGGGGGAGCACAGGGGATGTGCAGGATGAAATGGGGCTGGGGGAGCACAGGGGATGAGCAGGATGAAATGGGGCTTGGGAATGTTTTAGGATGAAATGGGGCTGGGGATGTTTTAGGATGGAATGGGATTGGGGGGTGTTTTAGGCTGCAATGGGTCTGGGGGTTATTTAAGACTGAAATGGGGCTGAGGGATATTTGAGGATCAAATGGGGCTGGGGGATGTGCAGGATGAAATGGGGCTGGGGGAGCACAGGGGATGAGCAGGGTGAAATGGGGCTGGGGGAGCACAGGGGATGAGCAGGATGAAATGGGGCTGGGGGAGCACAGGGGATGTGCAGGGTGAAATGGGGCTGGGGAAGCACAGGGAGCACACTGGGATGTGAAGAATGAAATGGGGCTGGGGGTGTTTTAGGATGAAATGGGTCTGGGGGTGTTTGAGGCTGAAATGGGGCTGGGGGTTATTTAAGGCTGAAATGGGGCTGAGGGTGTTTGAGGCTGAAATGGGTCTGGGGGATATTTGAGGCTGAAATGGGGATGGGGAAGCACAATGGGATGAGCAGGCTGAAATGGGTCTGGGGGATATTTGAGGCTGAAATGGGTCTGGGGGTGTTTGAGGCTGAAATGGGTCTGGAGGTGTTTNGGGTGGTTGGGAGGGGTTGGGGTACAGGTGAAAATTGGGGTGCTGGTGGCTCCTAAATTTGGGTGTGGGTGGCTGGGAGGGGTTGCGGTATTGGTGAAAATTGGGGTGCAGGTGAAATCTGGGGTGCAGGTAGCTCCTAAATTTGGGTGTGGGTACCTGGGAGAAGTTGGGGTGTGGGTGGAATTTGGGGTGCAGAGGAAATCTGGGGTGCTGGTGGCTCCTAAATTTGGGTATGGGTACCTGGGAGAAGTTGGGGTGTTGGTGAAAATTGGGGTGCAGGTGAAAATTGGGGTGCAGGTGCCTCACAGGATTTTGGGGTGTTGGTGGCTCCCAAATTTGGGTGTAGGGTGGCTGGGAGGGGTTGGGGTGCAGAGGAAAATTGGGGTGTTGGTGCCCCCAAAATTTGGACGTTGAGTGGCTGGGAGGGGTTGGGGTGCAGGTGAAACATGGGGTGCAGGTGGCTCCTAAATTTGGGTGTGAGTGTCTGGGAGGGGTTGGGGTGTTGGTGAAAATTGGGGTGCAGGTGAAATCTGGGGTGCAGGTAGCTCCTAAATTTGGGTGTGGGTACCTGGGAGAAGTTGGGGTGTTGGTGAAAATTGGGGTGCAGGTGAAATTTGGGGTGCTGGTGGCTCCTAAATTTGGGTGTGGGTGGCTGGGAGGGGTTGCGGTATTGGTGAAAATTGGGGTGCAGGTGAAATTTGGGGTGCAGGTAGCTCCTAAATTTGGGTGTGGGTACCTGGAAAAAGTTGGGGTGTTGGTGAAAATTGGGGTGCAGGTGCCTCACAGGATTTTGGGGTGTTGGTGGCCCCTAAATTTGGGTGTAGGGTGGCTGGGAGGGGTTGGGATGCAGAGGAAAATTGGGGTGTTGGTGCCCCCAAAATTTCGACGTTGGGTGGCTGGGGAGCTTTGGGGTACAGGTGAAACTTGGGGTGCAGGTGACTCCTAAATTTGGGTGTGGGTGGCTGGAAGAGGTTGGGGTGTTGGTGAAAATTGGGGTGCAGGTTCCTCACAGGATTTTGGGGTGTTGGTGCCTGGGAGAAGTTGGGGTGCAGGTGAAAATTGGAGTGCAGGTGAAAATTGGGGTGCAGGTGAAATCTGGGGTACAGGTAGTTCCTAAACTTGGGTGTGGGTACCTGGGAGAAGTGGGGGTGCAGGTGAAAATTGGGGTGCAGGTGCCTCACAGGGTTTTGGGGTGCTGGTGGCTCCCAGATTGGGGTGTGGGTGCCTGGGAGAAGTTGGGGTGCAGGGGGGGGTTGGGTGTGGGTGCTNTTGTGGCTTTGGGAAGAGAATTTTTTTCCTCTCTGCTTCCCTCAAGTGGACTTGGCTTCACTTGGATCCCAGAGGGAACCATCTCCAGCAGCTCCTGCTGGGCTGGGCGAGGCAGCTGAGCCTGGAGCAGATGTTTTGAGGCTTGTGGTTGTGTGGGGTTTTTGGGTTTGTTTTTTTTTTTAACTTTTTTTTTTTTCTGGAAATAGCACCTTCTGCTGCCTCTGTGCCCTGCCTAAACTCGCAGCTCTGGAGCAGAAGCACTGCATGCTGGAAATGTTGTGCCAGGGAGTGCCAGAGCTGTGCCAGAGCCGGTGCCACCGAGCTGGAGCCCTGCCCAGCCCCTTCCCTCCCCTTGGCACAGGGCTTGGAGGGGCTGGGGGTCACCCCAAACTCTGTCCCGGCCCCACTCACACAGCCAGTTCACAAATAACAAATACATTTTGTAATTATGTAAAAAAAAAAAAAACCACCCCCGATTGGCTGGGGAGGATGTAGAGAACCTGTAAATGTCTATAAATCTGTAGAATATATACATTTTTACAGAGCTGACGATACAAAAAAAAAGGAGGAATTCATTGTGAATGTGGCTTCATTCCTGAGGGAAGCAGCATTTTTGAACTCCACTCCTGGGAGGGTGACACGCAGCAGTGGCCTGGCTGTGACCACGGCTGGCTGGCAGCAGCTGATGGTTCTGGTTTTGCTTTTAAATCTTTATTTTTTTTTTTTTATTTTTGGTTTTTGCTCCCTCTTGGTGGGGGTGGGGGAGCTGTGGAAGTTCCTTGTGGCCACTTCCTTCTCTCCCCTTCCTCCTCCTCCTCCTCCTCCTCGGAGCCACGAGCTGGACAGAGCTGATGGTTGAATGTAGAACGTTCTGGAGCTGCTCCTGCAGCTCCTTCAGGGCTTCCCCACCAGGGCATTTTGATGCCCAAGGGGTTCCTTGCCCACCCTGGCTGCACTGGTGGGACCCCATGGGACCCCCCCATTGTCCCCAGGTGTCCCCTGGAGCCACAGCCAGGCCCTGCTTGTGTGCACAACAAGCTGTAGTTTGGTCAATAAATGTCTTTTTTTGGTTTTTTTTTTCTCATTTCCTTTGCTGCCAAACTCGTTTTCCCTCCCCAGCATTTGGGGACATTGGGACATTGCCATTCTCATTTCCATCTCTGTGGGGTTTTAATCACAGAATTCCAGGTTGGATTGGGTGGGGAGAGACCTTAAAATTCATTTTTTTCCACTTCCTGACCATGGAGATTTTCCATGTTCATCCAAGCTCCTATGCAAGCAATTCCAGGGATGGGGGATTCAGGAATTCTCTGGAAAATCTGTGCCAGGGCCTCACCCAGCACTGCTGCAGTTTCCTTCCCCTTTTAAAATCTCTATTTTTCTCCCTCTTTAGGGGGGTCCCTGCACCCCAAATTCCCATCCCTGCAGGTTTGGGGTGGATGGCAGAGGCAGAATCCTGCCCCAAAATGCTCTGGAAATGCAGAATTCTGCCCCAAAATGCTCTGGAAATGCAAAACCCTGCCCCAAAATGCTCTGGAAATGCAAAATCCTGCCCCAAAATCATGTGGAGAGGCAAAATCCTGCCTAAAATGCTCTGGAAAGGAAAAATTTTGCCTCAAAATGCTTTGGAGATACAAAATCCTACCCCAATACGCTCTGGAAATGCAAAATCCCGCCCCAAAATCTTCTGGAAATGCAAAATCCTGCCTTAAAATCCTCTGGAAATACAAAATCTTGCCCCAAAATTCTCAGGAAATGCAAAACCCTGCCCCAAAATCCTCTGGAAATGCAAAATCCTGCCCAAAAATCATGTGGAGAGGCAAAATCCTGCCTAAAATGCTCTGGAAAGGAAAAATCTTGCCTCAAAATGCT